GTACTCGGCACTGGTGAGGCCGCACCTTGAGTACTGTGTTCAGTTTTGGGCCCCTCACTACAAGAAGGACATGGAGGTGCTGGAGCATGTCCAAAGAAGGGCAACGAAGCTGGTGAAGGGTCTAGAGCACAAGTCTTATGAGGAGCGGCTGAGGGAACTGGGGTTGTTTAGCCTGGAGAAAAAGGGGCTGAGGGGAGACCTTATTGCTCTCTACAACTGCCTGAAAGGACGTTGTGGTGAGGTGGGGGTCGGTCTCTTCTCCCTAGTAACAAGCGATAGGATGAGAGGAAACAGCCTCAAGTTGCACCAGGGGAGGTTTAAATCGGATATTAGGAAAAATTTCTTCACCAAAATGTTTGTCAAGCACTGGAACAGGCTGCCCAGGAAAGTGGTTGAGTCTTCATCCCTGGAGGTATTTAAAAGACAGGTAGATGTGGTGCTTAGGGACATAGTTTAGTGGTGGACTTGGCAGTGCTAGGTTAATGGTTGGACTTGATGGTCTTAAAGGTCTTTTCCAACCTAAATTATGCTATGATTCTATGATTCTAATTTGGCTGTCGACAAACTTCATCAACTTCTTTTTCTGTCCATGCACAATAATCGACACCAGTACAAGGCCATCCACCACTCTAAAAAGCATCACAGTAGCTTTGTTACCTATCTCATACTCAGCTCTCCATCCACAAGTGCTCTCTGTTAGTCTTGTGGTTTTGAGATTTTTCATCCCTATAGCAAATTCCCTTATCCTAAACTTTGTAAACATCCCAGCAATTCTGTTTCTCTGGTTAGTCAGCACAGGACAGTCATTGTAGCTCTACAGGAACCTGCAGCTGCAACAGCCCCTGACTCCTACACTACACAAATATAGGTCAGGGATAGACACCGCGGAAGTGAAGGAATAGTCTTCTGGAGGACAGGACATACTTTGTAGCCACAGCGGTGGGATTGCTTCCACATTACCATCCATTGTGACTTGAAGATGGAAGAGAAATGGATCTCAGCGTGTTCTGGCTAGAGAATGAAGGTTGAAATGTGAAGAGGATCTGCAGATTGAAGCAAGGATGAAGGAGGGAAAAGCTAACAGAAGATGTCAGAACAAATCAAAGGGGTATGAAGGTGCCAGGAATACTTGCAGATTGGCAGTTTTTTAACCTGCATCAATCTATTAAAGATTGCCTGTAGCAACGTTTCTACTGTGTTTAAGTGGGGAAACAGCATGGCCCTAAAAATGAGAACAGTGAGGTTGTTGGGACAAAAGTTATTTAGAAAAGATTACTTTTAAAACACAGATTGATAAACTGGTAAAACTAATTATACAGTGTGAATGCCTGGAAGCTTGTTCTTGTCCTAAGTGTCCATCACAAATGTGTTACTAGCATTCTTGTGCCCATGGCTCCTGGCTCTTCCTGGCCTTAACGTGATCTCTCTTTCCTCAGAAGTGTTACAATCTTCATCTTCTCTCTTCAGGAAGCTGTCAGCCAACGGCTGGCCAGCCAGGTGGCCTTCAATGGGCAGAACTCTTCTGAGGAGCCGGAGCAGATTAACTGCCTTAAAGTGCTGGATGGGTAAGTAAGCAGCCCACTCCCTGCTCCTTTCATGAAAGGTTCATTACTAACCATGGGTTAAGAGCAGGCTGTGCATGGGTATCACCCATTGTGATGGGGAGGACAAAGCATTTTCACCTGTATATCTCCTAAGTCTGTGTACACCTTCCAAACACCTATGAAAATTGTAATGAATTTCTGCAGCTGCAGACCTTGACTTCCCGGGCTGGAAGTCTGAGGTAGAAACCTGCTCCCTTTCTTCCTCTGCATTTCCTTTGGAAATAAGTTTAAATAAAAGGCATTGACCTAATAGGGTGGAAATCTTGTTGGCTGAATTCCTCCAGCCTGCCTGAACACAACCTCCTTCTCATGAAAATACACGTATTGCCTTACCTCTTCATCCTCTAGAAATGACATACTTTCTGCTCTTTGAAGCAAAGTCTGACTTTGAAAGTGGAATGTGAACAAAGAAGAGCTGCAGTGGTCCCAGCCAGTGTGCGGCTGATCAGAAACAGCTCAAAATTGTCCATACAGCCTCAAATTTGTGTCAGGTCTTCAAAAACTGAGCGGGGAGGTGACCATAGTGCTCTGTTCAGGAAACCATCCTAGGTTGCAGAGCAGTCGGGGAGGCTGACACAAATTAAATTGACTCTTGGGTCTCATGATAGTTATCTGCCTCTTAAGAGAGAGGGTCAGCTCTTTTTAATATATACTTCTGTAAGTCATGTGAAGGAAAGATGGATTATGTTTGTTACTTCTTTGAAATCTTTGTCTTCTCCCTTTGTCTGGCTTCACATTCAGTGCTTGTAAGAGACAGGGGCCCTTTATTTTGAAGAAGTAACTGCAAAGTATCACTGAAAGCTGGAGAGGTGCATAAATGCTGATACTAGCAGTCACATTGCCTCAGCCTATGCTGCTAAATAAATCAGGGCCAAGATGTAGTATCAAGCACTGCCTTGTAACTGCTTGCACTGCTTTGTTGTCAGCACTCTCCCTGCCATGGTTTGGCCTGTGCCAACTAGTGCTCTCCAAGATAACATCCTGGCACGGTTTGGGAGACAGCACAGGGTAGCAACCATTCCCAGTGGGCAACATGGACACGACTGTACCAGGCTAGACTGTGTCCAGTGTCCTTCAACAGTATTCTAGAAGGCTTTGTACCCAGGCCATGCAAGACACATCCTGTTTCACACTATGAATACAGCTGTAATACAGTGGTCACATTATGTCGTGCACTTTGAACTGAAAAAACAGACACAAAACCTTAGTTGTGTTTTAGGCTGCAGAGACACTGTGGGAGATCCAGAAGACTACCATGGCTATACAATGTGGACACAATCAGTCTACGCCATTTTACCAGAGGGCCAAAGGATGATCCCCGGCCCTGTTTTATTTACAGCAAAAACATAGCTTTTCTCGAAAGCTGATTTGTGCTTACATATCTTGGCATTGAGAAAAGTTGGTGGTAGACGATCTCTTGCTGTGGCACAGAAAAGGCTGAGGCTTGCGTCTTCTAAGGAAGGTACAAGAGATGTGGCCAAAGGTTCCTCCTGGTTTCCTGGAAGACAGTGTACCCCCTTAGAGCATCTCCTGTTTGTATGCAGTTATCACCTTAGAGAGCTGTCAGTTAGAGAGCTGTCAATAGCAGCTAAAAGTCCTGTGTTTTTTCACTTGAACAGGATGAGTAAGAGTCCAGCAGAGTTCCATGGAGCTGAGGCAAAGACGGTGCAGCTTTCCCATGCTACACTGGCTCCACAAAACTCCTGTCAGACTTCTGGAGTGCCACATAAAACCTCACTTTCATTGTCCACACTTGTCTGCCCACTGAATCAGACTGCTGGTCCGTCCTGCCTGTTTGCCAGGCTTCCAGGCAAGAGTGCTGCTCATGCAAGTACTGCTTCCCAGACTTGCTTTGCTTTCAATGGTCCATACTTGTACAGCCCAGTGATGTCCTCCCAGCCCGATATGCATCAGGCCCTGCAAGTGGACCCAGTGGGAGTCTGTAAGAAATCAGTTTCCCTTCAGTATGTGACCCTCCCAAGCGAAGACTGTCCCCAGGCTCCACAGAGGCAAGGACAGCCAGGAGCAGGTCCTCCACAGCCCTTCATGCTCCCAGATCAGAAGGAAATGATGCAGCACCTCGACGATGAGAAAGAAGTCTCACCGGCCCCACCAGCCTGTGGGAAAGGCACGAACATGAGCACAGAAGAGCAGCAATCTCCAAAGGCTCTTAGCCATATCACGTCTCCTCAGCAGTGCCCCTTGGAGTACATTCCCACAGAGAGCCTGTTACTGCCATCAGCCAGCGACTCCACCCATCCGCCACTTGTCACAGCCCCACAGCAGCCACACTTACCATGAGTTTTCTCCTGGGAAAACTGGTGTCACGGTCCCAGTTTCAGGTCAAGCACCAACCTCTTCTGAATTGCACCTGGATGTGTTTGGAGACCCTTTAGGTCTCCATGGACTTTCAGAACCCACAAAAATGTCCTTATGTATTTCTTGAAACGGAGTATTATTTTTCCTGAAGAACCTGTGTTCGAGAACTACATAGTCATATACAATCCTGGGAGCACCATAACAGTTTTACTTCATTATGGGCAATTGCTACACTGTCCCCAACCTAAAACCCAGTAAGAAGGTACAGATCCCTAAAAAAGATCCCTAAGTGTATTGGGTTTACATGGCAAGGGTTTGGTAATAGGGATGCTACAGGGGTGGCTTCTGTGAGAAGATGCCAGAAGCTTCCCCTGTGTCTGACAGAGCCAGTGCCAGCCGGCTCCAAGATGGACCCATTGCTGGCCAAAGCTGAGCCAATCAGTGACGTTGGTAGCACCTCTGTGAAAAGATATTTAAGAACCAAGACAAAAATTTGCAAAGTGACACCATTATAATCCCATTTTCTTTCCACAAATGCTACCTCTTCTCTCCAGCTTCTAGTCTAACATGGTGAAAGATATCAAGCAAGCCTACCCCTTTCTTAGTTATATTAATGTATTTAGTAAAAGGGACAGGCCATAATTCCCATGTACCCGCATTTAGATAGTCTCACATTCCCCTGATAGGTGTGATTGGCAGGGGAAGAAGCCAGATTTAGCTAGGGCTCCTTTCTAAAAATAGGTAATCAGTTTCAGTTCAAGGCTCTCAGGTTATAGGAAAAGAAAATGATTTTGCTTGGGCACATAATGAGCTTGGATAATCAGTTTTCCTGCTCAAGAGCAATGACTCCAAGGGTTTAAAAGAAAAGGAATTTTATTAAAAGGGATAAAATGGCAACTCAGCATAAACACTGGTAGGCCTGTTCACTAAAATCAGCAATACAACCTGAAAGCTTCTTGGTAATGTAACCCATTCCCCTGTTTTGCCCAGAGCTGAGAAAGCCCATTGTCCATCTGTAAGGAGATGTTGCTCTTAAAACTCTCTTACTGTTTCCGAGTGAGGTGATCCCACCTCTGATACTGGGTTGCTGCTCTTGGCAGCTTCCGCCCACGAAGCCTTGGTTCTGTCTGCAGTCCCACGCTGCCCCCTCAATGTTTCAGACCCTCAGAGAGCGGTCTGTGGCAAACAGAACCCAAAGAGAACGCCAAGGGAAAGACCATTTGCGTTTTGGTTTTTTTTGTTTTATTTTCTTGCTCCATGGTTCCTTTGCTCTACTACTATCAAGGGGAACACCACAAGTAATTCCTAACCCTCAAAACACCATTGCCTCTTGAAGGATAATAGTGTTTTAAATACCTTCAAACTTAAGACGCAATTGTGTTTCAACCCCAGTGCGCCAGAGTGAAATCCACTGAAGTCAATTCACTTGCTCCCTCTTTGTTGTGATCTCTAGCTGTTTCAAGCAGGGCTGGATTTCTCTTTTATCCCATTATAGGCAGGATCAGCAGTAAGTACTCCATTCTTTTAGGAATACTGGGCTTACCTCAGGATAGACGTAGCTCTGAATTTAAGTTTTATTTCAGTGCAAGATTTACAGCATAAAGGATTGCTTTCAATAGCAGGCTGAAGACTCTGATAAGAGTTTTTGCAGTGACTATCTCCTGTTCTTACAGTTGTTACCATTTCTTTAATAAGCCATTCAAAAATCATTTGCAGTGGAGATACCAAAGGTTGGAGTCATTCAGGGTAGCACAAGATAGGCAGAAGTCAGAGGGTTAAATGAAAAGAAAAAAAAGATTGGCTGGAGAACAGGAAATCTTTATTAAAAGTGATATCCTGCAGAATGATCTGTGCCTCAACTGCAGGGATGCATAAGCCTAAACTGGGAAATACCCATTTCTGCAAGAAATAGTAGAAGGCATGAGGAGAGTGCTGCAGAAGCTCGGATGTAATTGGTCTCTTCTATTTCAAATTGCTGTAGTATGATTATCTATTTATCAAGTGCATTGACTGTTTATAGATGACTGAAACAGTTCTTCAATAGCTATTTTGGTGAATGGTTTAGATAAAGCAGAGAAGAACCCATTTTTTTCCAAGTTCTGCCCCGTCAGATAAAAACATTGGCTCAGAGCTGCCACCCAATGATCAGACCTTGTAAAATCACTTAAATACAGGCTGCCTATGTTGCAAAGTGCTGAGTTCATTGAGACAACATAGCGGAGACCAACTAATTTCTCACTGCACAAAAAAGGCAGTGAAAGGCCATTTCCCTCTCCACTCCCTTTCTGCTCCTCTTCCCCAACATCTGCATACCCCATCACTCATTGCCTTGCCTGCAACAAGGTCCTTTGCTTAGAAAATTTAATTTGTTAACCTGTTAACTTTGCTTTTTTCTTCTGTATTGATTTTCTGCTGGTTTATCAAGTTGAATCAGTTCAGAGTGTGGGCAGGGAAGTGTCAGCACCAGCACAAAAGAAGCAAGAAGGAATGAACTGCTGAGAGCAGAGGAATGGGTCGAAGGGAGATTTCATCTGCAGTGAGCACTTATTTCAGCCCTGTTCTTGTCTAACTGCATCTGACATGCTATTTGGAGATTCCAAACCTGGCTTTAAATACGCATGTTTGGGTACCCAAAGCACTCTAGTCAACACAAAGCACCACACAGGGTAAAGCTCCTTGCCAAGGTTCGGGCTAAATTAGTCTGTTCAGCACTCAGAGACTTCAGGTATTGATTGCTCCCAGTAGCTGCGCTGTCTCATTGAAAGCTATCTCAGTTACCTCTGCGGCCTTCTGTGTGTCATCCATCAGAAAGTGTTTGCTCCTGGCTGAGCCATAACATTTGGCAAAGCAAAGAAGATGAAGGAGGATTGCCACATGTATGTTCCTTTGGCGTCAAACAACTTCACCCCTTTGAGTGTGTTATACAATGCCAACTATTTTGTACTATTTAAGTGCTTATAAAAATATTTTGATTTGTAAAAAGTGTACAAAGTGACTTTACTCCACTTCAGGAGGCAAACAGCACGGTTTGTGGCAGAATGTAGTGGTGCACTAACAAGATCTTTCAGTCCGTGTCCCTTCTGATCTAGTCTCTTCGTGAGCCTTTCATGGGTAGCAAAGGGCATTTGCTCCAAGCTGTACCATAATTCTGCAGTCTACCTGCCCTTATGTCTATTTCTAATAGACATAAGAAATAGATCTGTAAATCTGTATGCTGATTCAGCCCACATGTTATGTTTTGTATGTGTAATAGCTAACTCTACCCAGAACTGCCTGCTTTCAGTACACCAAACAGTGTCAGCAGATTTCTGTTCAGCTCTGTGTTTTCTGGATTAGGACTTGAACATGAGCCAGCAGTGTGCTCAGGTGGCCAAGAGGGTCAATGGCATCCTGGCCTGTATCAGGAATAGTGTGGCCAGCAGGACCAGGGAGGTGATAGTGCCCCTGTACTCGGCACTGGTGAGGCTGCACCTTGAGTACTGTGTTCAGTTTTGGGCCCCTCACTACAAGAAGGACATGGAGGTGCTGGAGTGTGTCCAGAGGAGGGGAACGAAGCTGGTGAAGGGTCTAGAGCGCAAGTCTTATGAGAAGTGGCTAAGGGAGCTGGGGTTGTTTAGTCTGGAGAAGAGGAGGCTGAGGGCAGACCTTCTTGCTCTCTACAACTGCCTGAAAGGAGGGTGTAGCGAGGTGGGGGTCGGTCTCTTCTCCCTAGTAACAAGCGAGAGGACAAGAGGAAATGGCCTCAAGCTGCGCCAGGGGAAGTTTAGGTTGGATATTAGGAAAAACTTCTTCACCGAAAGGGTGGTCAGAGTTTAGTGGTGGACTGGGCAGTGCTAGGTTAACGGTTGGACTCAATGATCTTAAGGGTCTTTTCCAACCTTAACAATTCTATGATTCTGTGATTCTATGACTTGGTGCGGTCTCAGAAGACAGCATTTATTATGTACTTGAAGTCACGTTGGTCATCAGTGCTGGATGCAACACAGAGAACAGGGTGTTCCGACAGAGCTGCGCTGTTCAGCTGAAGCCGGAGTGGTGTGTGCTCAGACTGGAGCCACTTGGTACTGATGCACAAGGAAAACCCACAGGGAGGTTTCTACAAGCTGCCATTTGGCCAGGCTCCTTAATTTGAAAGACTTGGACATGTGCCTGGAAACATCTGAATTCCAAATGGTTAATTATTGCTGGTGGAAAATGATTATCACTTGATTATCATTAGTTACATTTTAAACTCCTTCACTACTTTTATGAAGTCAGCATATTGTTATCTAATCCCCAGCCGATGAAGAGTGCAGTAACAATCCTAATTCTGCCCCAAAACAGTTCATATCAGGGAGCAAAGCATCAGTCTTTTAAAATGGTGAAAGCTTGGGACCAGTCAGGAAAGATCAAGGCATCGCTATTCCCAGACATGTACTTTGTGATTGCTGCACCAAACTGCTATGCTTTGGAACTGGAAGGCAGGATCCTGCAATAAGGGCCATTAAATACTGAGAAAAACACATCAGGAAGCCCTAAAGACCCTGCATGTCCTGCATTATTCAAGCCCTTAGGTCATCCGTGGTCACTGTCCAGATACACTCTCTGAACTTCTGATTATGCAGACTGTATGGTGGATGTATGTGCTTCTCCCGGAGAGACATTTATCTTTGAGTTAGAGAAAGGGCTGACAGGGGCAAGCATGGCTTATGAGAGCTTCAGTAAGGGTCCATTCACTTTGTGGGGTGATTTGCAGATTGGAGAAGTCCTGGGGCTTCTTGCAGCTTTCCTGTTCCCTTTAGGTGGGATAAGCCAGCTTTTTTTTGCATTGGCTTGGCCTGCAAATAGTGTGGGCTTTAGTGAATACCCTGATGCCTCCTCTTCTCAGGTGAGTTTCCATTTGTTTTTGCACATTGCTGCTCCCTGACAGGGTAAGATCTTTCCCTGAAATCCTCCACATGGAAGATATAACAACAAAACTAGAGTGGTGGGCAGAGAACCCTCCTTTCCTACCCCAGGTAGGCATCTGGTGCCAATCATACGGAGTCATGCCCAGCTTATTCAGCAGACACTGTTTGGTGCCTTTCTGGCAAGAGAGCCTGAATACACCTCGGAAGCATCAATAGGGAGCTGGTTCTTTGCTTGGTG